ATGGGTGATCCACACCGGCGGATAACATCACACATTTGGTCCACTGTTGGAAGAGTGATCCACATCATCGGGTCCCGATCACACATTTGGTCCACTGTTGAAGGAGTGATCCACACCGGCGGATAACATCACACATTTGGTCCACTGTTGATGGAGTGATCCACATCATCGGGTCCCGATCATACATTTGGTCCACTGTTGATGGAGTGATCCACACCGGCGGATAACATCACACATTTGGTCCACTGTTGAAGGAGTGATCCACATCATCGGGTCCCGATCACACATTTGGTCCACTGTTGATGGAGTGATCCACACCGGCGGATAACATCACACATTTGGTCCACTGTTGAAGGAGTGATCCACATCATCGGGTCCCGATCACACATTTGGTCCACTGTTGAAGGAGTGATCCACACCGGCGGATAACATCACACATTTGGTCCACTGTTGATGGAGTGATCCACATCATCAGGTCCCGATCACACATTTGGACCACTGTTGAAGGAGTGATCCACACCGGCGGATAACATCACACATTTGGTCCACTGTTGATGGAGTGATCCACATCATCAGGTCCCGATCACACATTTGGACCACTGTTGAAGGAGTGATCCACACCGGCGGATAACATCACACATTTGGTCCACTGTTGATGGAGTGATCCACACCATCAGGTCCCGATCACACATTTGGACCACTGTTGAAGGAGTGATCCACACCGGCGGATAGCATCACACATTTGGTCCACTGTTGATGGAGTGATCCACATCATCAGGTCCCGATCACACATTTGGACCACTGTTGAAGGAGTGATCCACACCGGCGGATAGCATCACACATTTGGTCCACTGTTGATGGAGTGATCCACATCATCAGGTCCCGATCACACATTTGGTCCACTTTGATGGCCCCAAGATCGTCCCTTTCCTACACGTACTGGTTACCTGGACCCATCTGTACCCGTGGTTTCCATGGTGATCCAAGTGCCCATCGTTATGCCAGGGAATACAGTGACCAGAGTGACACGTCGTGGTGTAACTGAAACACTGCTGACAGCGGCGTTAATCCCCTCACTCACTCACTCACTCATAGATTTCGGCTGGATAGGCATGGGTGATTATAGTAATTATAGATGTTATAAGTCTGTCTGTTGGTTTCACCACAGTGGTAAACGTTTTCGGCCTTCTTGACATCTTGTGTAGCTCCGACGTCATGTTGAACTCGTTTTCAGAGTAGTTCCTTCTCTGACACATTGACCATTGACGTGTAACGAACTGTCTGAAATGAAATGAAAGAAATGACTAATCTTTCTATTTTTAAAACATTGTATACATCCATCTGAATGAGACTATGTATTGTATTGAGGAACGGTATCTATTTCCAAGAGTGCCTCTACCCAGTGTACACTTGTGGTGGGACAGCACGCTATATGGACTCTCCACCATCTACTTCTTCTAACTGCCACTGTGATTGGTTGACACGCACGCATATGTCCTGCAATATGAGATAAATGTAGAGGTTACCTTACCCTGGGGTGCACCAGCCCAAGTGTATTGATCTCTGCATGGTGGTGACTGGCCAATCAGATTGCAAGATTTTTAAAAAAGGTAATGGTGGGTTATAGCCAGTAACAAACAGTTAAAGGAATGTTTCCTGTTCAGAGCTGAGCGACAATTTAACGCAAAGTTAGCCCATAACACACACGAAGCACTTGTCGTGGTAAGCTGGTTGTCAACCCGGGGTGTGAACTTGAACACGTGGCGTATATACAGGTAAGCAGATACCTTCATCTACAGTTACAATGGAAACGGTGAGGTAGCCTACTTGTACCTTCTGTCATCGGGGCCAACCGTCTAGTATCAGCAAGGAATTGTAGTGGGAAACAACTGTGAAAATAGGACACTCGTTCTGCGTAAATAACACTTTAATGTGGAAATAGGACATTCTTTCTGTATAATTGGTGCTAGGTGTGAAAATAAGACACCGTTTTTATAGCGACAACTGGACACTCTTTTCATTACATACACCACCATTCGTACGTTACAAGCAAGTCAAACATGACAGAAAATGTGTAGCCGTAGCTTTTAATTGTCTTACCACAAGATTTGAGTTCTTTGTCAATAATGCCTGCTGCTATCGCCCATTTTGAAGAAGTTGCACTGCTTGTTTTGGAGGGCCAGATCACTTCCCTGGACTAAACCCACTCCACAGTGACTTCGTCTGGGGAACAGAACACTCCACTCAGTATTCCTAACTCTCCCCATTGCAGGATGACAACTCCCAAATCATTATTCATAACTCTCCCCCATAGCAGTATGAGAGCACTCCCCTCAATATTCATAACCCTCCCCCATAGCAGTATGAGAGCACTCCCCTCAATATTCATAACCTTCCCCCATAGCAGTATGAGAGCACTCCCCTCAATATTCATAACTCTCCCCCATAGCAGGATGAGAGCACTCCCCTCAATATTCATAACCCTCCCCCATAGCAGTATGAGAGCACTCCCCTCAATATTTATAACCCTCCCCCATAGCAGGATGAGAGCACTTCCCTAGAGAGAGGCACTCCCCCTATACTTGTTTGTATAATGTATTACAATATAGTTATATTGTATAAATCCTAGGACATTTGTTTTAAGCATATTTTATTTCAAGAGAAAGAAAGGGATTGGCAAACAAGCTCAGTGGGCAATAGTAATGCCTCTCCCGAACATGTTCATATTTATGGAAGCTATTTACAACAAATCAATTGCCAAAAGGTAATAGAATGTGTTGGTACCACACTTTTGCTCGTTGAATAAAATATGGTATTTAATTGTTGAACTTAATGAATGATTTCTTAAGTCATCTTTTTGAAAACTGGATGAAATGGTGAACAGAGGAGATAATATTTTGTTAGCTGCCCGTGGTCACCACAAGATTTTGTGTTCTTTGTCAATAATGCCTGCTGCTATCGCCCATTTTGAAGAAGTTGCAACCGTTCACTGCTTGTGTTGGAGGGCCAGATCACTTCCCTGGACTAAACCCACTCCACAGTGACTTCGTCTGGGGAACAGAACACTCCACTCAGTATTCCTAACTCTCCCATTGCAGGATGACAACTCCCAAATCATTATTCATAACTCTCCCCATAGCAGGATGAGAGCACTCCCCTCAATATTCATAACCCTCCCCCATAGCAGTATGAGAGCACTCCCCTCAATATTTATAACCCTCCCCCATAGCAGGATGAGAGCACTTCCCTAGAGAGAGGCACTCCCCCTATACTTGTTTGTATAATGTATTACAATATAGTTACATTGTATAAATCCTTGGACATTTGTTTTAAGCATATTTTATTTCAAGAACGAGAAAAGGGATTGGCAAACAAGCTTAGTGGGCTATAGTAATGCCTCTCCCGAACATGTTCATATTTACGGAAGCTATTTACAACAATCAATTGCCAATAAAGTAATAGAATGTGTTGGTACACGTTTGCTCGTTGAGTAAAATATGGTATTTAATTGTTGAACTTTATGAATGATTTCTTAAGTCATCTTTTTGAAAACTGGATGAAATGGTGAACAGAGGATATCATATTTTGTTAGGTGCAGGGTCTAGATAAAAAGTACCATATAATACCAAATGTATGTCGTATCCATGTTGATAAAAGTACATTGACAAACGGAAGTCATTATACAACGGACAGGTGAAGAAGTAATGAATATTGTCTCGGGTGACCGCAAGGGCAGGCCCGGTTTGACGAGATGTGTCTATCGAACTTATGGGAATTTAAATCACTACACCCGAGTCTGAGGCGCGCATCGATTACTTTACATTGTCTATTACCAATATTGATATCAAAGAAAAACGAGGCACCTTTACGAGTAGATATTAAACGTTTGAAATCAGACTGATTATTAACAGAGCTTGTTGATTGTGACAGATGGTTCCATTGTCTGATTACATCTGGTATAGGAGATCTAGCATAGAGTGTAGATCTGCAATAGTTATTGCGAATTTGTCCCGAATGTCTTAGCGTGCAGTTGCCATTTTGTGATTTTCAAGGGAATTGCTTTGTTTTTTACTGCAATTGTCCCAGATGTGAGAACAGTAGTCAAAGAGAGGAAGAATAAACTGTTTGTATATAGTGTCTAGGCTCTTACGTGATAATCTATATTTCAAGGACCTCAAGCAGTTGATCATCGGGATACTTTCTTGATTATGTCACTAATGTGCTCATTCCAATTACAGTTACTTTGCAATGTTAAACCAATATGTTTATGATGAGAAACTACTTTAATGATATTAATCATGTGAAGATCAGGAAGTCTAGTGGGTGGTTGTTTGCGTGAAAATAATATGCTTTCAGTTTTGTTAGGATTGAAAACGACATTCCAATGTCTAGCCCAATTAAAACATTTTTCTGAGTCATTATTGAGGTAAGTAGCAGTAACATCGGGTATTTTAGCAAAATATAAGGGATGTGTCATCAGCGAATAAACGGATATTACTATCAATGTTAACAACTAAGTCTTAAATGTATATCAGGAATTATAGTGGACCCAAAACGGAGCCTTGTGGTACACCTGCATTAGCACTGAGGAAATCAGATCGAAATCCATTTATAACAACTTGTTGTTTTCTGTCTTGCAAATAACTCTTGAACCATTTCAGTAAAGAACATGAAATCCCTATTTTTTCTACTTTATAAATCAAACCTTCATGCCAAACTTTATCAAATGCTTTACTGATAGGACCTATTCCTGCCCCACCGTTACTTGTGGGTTTCCTTAACGATTTCCATGCAATCACACTGATTTAGAGACATTTCACCAGAATATAGCGAGGATGATGTTGTTCAGGCAATGTGAGACAGACTAGCATATGTCCTGCAATATGAGATAAATGTAGAGGTTACCTTACCCTGGGGTGCACCAGCCCAAGTGTATTGATCTCTGCATGGTGGTGACTGGCCAATCAGATTGCAAGATTTTTAAAAAAGGTAATGGTGGGTTATAGCCAGTAACAAACAGTTAAAGGAATGTTTCCTGTTCAGAGCTGAGCGACAATTTAACGCAAAGTTAGCCCATAACACACACGAAGCACTTGTCGTGGTAAGCTGGTTGTCAACCCGGGGTGTGAACTTGAACACGTGGCGTATATACAGGTAAGCAGATACCTTCATCTACAGTTACAATGGAAACGGTGAGGTAGCCTACTTGTACCTTCTGTCATCGGGGCCAACCGTCTAGTATCAGCAAGGAATTGTAGTGGGAAACAACTGTGAAAATAGGACACTCGTTCTGCGTAAATAACACTTTAATGTGGAAATAGGACATTCTTTCTGTATAATTGGTGCTAGGTGTGAAAATAAGACACCGTTTTTATAGCGACAACTGGACACTCTTTTCATTACATACACCACCATTCGTACGTTACAAGCAAGTCAAACATGACAGAAAATGTGTAGCCGTAGCTTTTAATTGTCTTACCACAAGATTTGAGTTCTTTGTCAATAATGCCTGCTGCTATCGCCCATTTTGAAGAAGTTGCACTGCTTGTTTTGGAGGGCCAGATCACTTCCCTGGACTAAACCCACTCCACAGTGACTTCGTCTGGGGAACAGAACACTCCACTCAGTATTCCTAACTCTCCCCATTGCAGGATGACAACTCCCAAATCATTATTCATAACTCTCCCCCATAGCAGTATGAGAGCACTCCCCTCAATATTCATAACCCTCCCCCATAGCAGTATGAGAGCACTCCCCTCAATATTCATAACCTTCCCCCATAGCAGTATGAGAGCACTCCCCTCAATATTCATAACTCTCCCCCATAGCAGGATGAGAGCACTCCCCTCAATATTCATAACCCTCCCCCATAGCAGTATGAGAGCACTCCCCTCAATATTTATAACCCTCCCCCATAGCAGGATGAGAGCACTTCCCTAGAGAGAGGCACTCCCCCTATACTTGTTTGTATAATGTATTACAATATAGTTACATTGTATAAATCCTTGGACATTTGTTTTAAGCATATTTTATTTCAAGAACGAGAAAAGGGATTGGCAAACAAGCTTAGTGGGCTATAGTAATGCCTCTCCCGAACATGTTCATATTTACGGAAGCTATTTACAACAATCAATTGCCAATAAAGTAATAGAATGTGTTGGTACACTTGTTTGTATAATTTGCTCGTTGAGTAAAATATGGTATTTAATTGTTGAACTTTATGAATGATTTCTTAAGTCATCTTTTTGAAAACTGGATGAAATGGTGAACAGAGGATATCATATTTTGTTAGGTGCAGGGTCTAGATAAAAAGTACCATATAATACCAAATGTATGTCGTATCCATGTTGATAAAAGTACATTGACAAACGGAAGTCATTATACAACGGACAGGTGAAGAAGTAATGAATATTGTCTCGGGTGACCGCAAGGGCAGGCCCGGTTTGACGAGATGTGTCTATCGAACTTATGGGAATTTAAATCACTACACCCGAGTCTGAGGCGCGCATCGATTACTTTACATTGTCTATTACCAATATTGATATCAAAGAAAAACGAGGCACCTTTACGAGTAGATATTAAACGTTTGAAATCAGACTGATTATTAACAGAGCTTGTTGATTGTGACAGATGGTTCCATTGTCTGATTACATCTGGTATAGGAGATCTAGCATAGAGTGTAGATCTGCAATAGTTATTGCGAATTTGTCCCGAATGTCTTAGCGTGCAGTTGCCATTTTGTGATTTTCAAGGAATTGCTTTGTTTTTACTGCAATTGTCCCAGATGTGAGAACAGTAGTCAAAGAGAGGAAGAATAAACTGTTTGTATATAGTGTCTAGGCTCTTACGTGATAATCTATATTTCAAGGACCTCAAGCAGTTGATCATCGGGATACTTTCTTGATTATGTCACTAATGTGCTCATTCCAATTACAGTTACTTTGCAATGTTAAACCAATATGTTTATGATGAGAAACTACTTTAATGATATTAATCATGTGAAGATCAGGAAGTCTAGTGGGTGGTTGTTTGCGTGAAAATAATATGCTTTCAGTTTTGTTAGGATTGAAAACGACATTCCAATGTCTAGCCCAATTAAAACATTTTTCTGAGTCATTATTGAGGTAAGTAGCAGTAACATCGGGTATTTTAGCAAAAATATAAGGGATGTGTCATCAGCGAATAAACGGATATTACTATCAATGTTAACAATTAAGTCTTAAATGTATATCAGGAATTATAGTGGACCCAAAACGGAGCCTTGTGGTACACCTGCATTAGCACTGAGGAAATCAGATCGAAATCCATTTATAACAACTTGTTGTTTTCTGTCTTGCAAATAACTCTTGAACCATTTCAGTAAAGAACATGAAATCCCTATTTTTTCTACTTTATAAATCAAACCTTCATGCCAAACTTTATCAAATGCTTTACTGATAGGACCTATTCCTGCCCCACCGTTACTTGTGGGTTTCCACGATTTCCATGCAATCACACTGATTTAGAGACATTTCACCAGAATATAGCGAGGATGATGCACCATGACAACTGAAGGTTAGGACTATTCACCTCCACCGGTGGAGGAGCTGCTGTCACTGTACAGCTCAGGTGTTTCAAAACAATGTCCCGTTGTATTAAAATCAATATTCAGATTAACAGCTTCCTGTGTCGTCGTGTGCATGTCAGGTCAGTACCGTGTACATGGGTTCACATTTGGTTGTCAAAATAGTCACAGGGTTATCATCATTTGACAGCTTGTTGTGCAATCTACTTCTATCAGTTCTGTAGGGACGTTTACAGATTACATGGCGATACTATACAAACAGCGACAAAAAGGCTTTCCTCAATCTGAAGACATTTCTTTTAAAACCAGACCCAAAATGGCGTTCTATTTCTTCCTCTCAAAATACTTTAGGCGACCGTCCTACGTCTAGCTTGTGATCTGGTTCCGGACTCAATGTGCGCTGCGGCAACATTTGACACATAAAGACAGATCCCAGCTCACAGTTTCTCTTTTGTGCTAACCTTCATTGCAATTCATGTACCACAGAATACTGGCGCATGTTGTTTAGTGACACTAGTGTAGAACAGAAGCATTTGTTTATCTGTTGGATTGGTATTTCAGAAGTTGGTGAGTAATAGGAAAGTAAGACAATTTATGGATAACAACTTACTTATTATATAAGATGCGACGTTTCGGAACAGATTCTTATATGTTGTCAAGCAGGACTGAAGTACTACAGCACAGAACAGATATATATATACATGTTATATATATACATGAACAGGGATTGAGTAAAGACAACATGTAAGCATGAATCAAGGGGATTAACAACAACAACAATGGGTGGTGGTAATAATACAGTGACAATAGGAGGAAGCCAATGTTCCATGAGGCAGAACAAAATATGACTGATTAGCAAGGGTGGTTGGTGTGCTCTGTTGTTTGTATCAGTTCATTGTAGGCGGGTGGAATGAGGTATCCTTGGTCTCTGTTGATTGAGGGCTTGTGTCGGCGGATTTGAACTGCTTCTGCGAGTTTTCTTTTGGTGAAGTCCTGGAAGTTGTTCGATAATAATTTTGGACAACGTAGAGATACTATCGGAAACCCTCCAGGACTTAACCAAAAGAAAATTGGCAGAAGCAGTTCAAATTCATCTACTATCCAGCAAAGTTTTTATATTTTTTTATTTTCCTTCAACATTACTTTAACTGTAGTGTTAAGTCTGTTTGTTTGAAAATATTCTAATATGGAAAATTTGATTTAAAAAAGTCTAAAATCAAATATTTTCGGTCAAATAAAATTTGAAACGATGAAGCTATGTCAATAATAATCATGATTGTCAAGGCAAACAACACTCTTGTACAGACAAACAACATCCCTGTACAGCAAACAACATTCTTGTACAGACAAACAACATTCTTGTACAGACAAACAACACTCTTGTACAGACAAACAACACTCTTGTACAGGCAAACAACATTCTTGTACAGACAAAACAACATTCTTGTACAGACAAACGACATTCTTGTACAGACAAACAACATTCTTGTACAGACAAACACTGAATGAATGTGATGATTGTCAAGGCAAACAACATTCTTGTACAGACAAACAACATTCTTGTACAGACAAACAACATTCTTGTACAGACAAACAACATCCCTGTACAGCAAACAACATTCGTGTACAGACAAACAACATTCTTGTACAGACAAACAACATTCTTGTACAGACAAACAACATCCTTGTACAGGCAAACAACATTCTTGTACAGACAAACAACATTCTTGTCTTGTACAGACAAACAACATTTTGTACAGACAAACACTGAATGAATGTGATGATTGTCAAGGCAAACAGCATTCTTGTACAGACAAACAACATTCTTGTACAGACAAACAACATTCTTGTACAGACAAACAACATTCTTGTACAGACAAACAACATCCTTGTACAGGCAAACAACATTCTTGTACAGACAAACAACATTCTTGTCTTGTACAGACAAACAACATTTTGTACAGACAAACACTGAATGAATGTGATGATTGTCAAGGCAAACAACATTCTTGTACAGACAAACAACATTCTTGTACAGGCAAACACTGAATGAATGTATTGTTTCTGACTTTTAAGATGAAGAAATGCTTTAAGTAAGTTCCTTTCAATATGTATTTACACTATACACATCGCAAAAACATACACTGTCCATTATATCAATATGTTACCTCAGTTCAACTAACGGTCTAAATAAACTGACCCTACTGTCGGCAGTATGAAGATGTTAGAAAAAAACGCCCAACCTCACTTGAACACACACACACACACACACACACACACACACACCCACCCACCCACCCACCCACCCAAAACCCAACAACCCCAAAACAGACAAAACAACAACAACAACTGGCCCTCAATGAATAATTAAAGACAAATCTAAACGCACAAAGAACGAAAAACTAGTTTATTTATGGAAGCAAACATGGTAAAAAGTGACTCATTTTGGTTTGCTGATGACTATGGTCTTAGGACGTCACCAAATACGGCCATGTTCCAGCTTCCAGCATACAGTCCTCAAGAAATCACTTGTATCCATCACCGGGCACAGTGTTGTCAATACCCGGTATAACCCCCCGCCTCCTGCAAC